TCTTTCATTCCGATTCTCAGAACTTCATATAAGAAAATGTTTGTTAATTTTTTAGGCATACTCTTAATAAGCTTTTATTGTTAATACAATGTTTCAGTGTGATTTTTAAAAATTACTTTGGGTACGCTTATTGAAAATCAAATGATAATATATGTGTAGATTTATTTCTAAACTCTATGCTGGTGCACTATATGTTCATATTTATGACAACTCAAAACTGTCTTGATTAAATTTAGAGTGAGTCTTGAAATCAGGTTTTTTTCTTATAAAAATTGTCCTTTTCATTTCCAGATATTTATATATCCCTTTATATATGACTCCCTTTACCCATTTCTCTGATCATTCACCTCCTTCACCTGCTTCCTGCTCTGGCCACCTCCACTCTGTTTTCTGTATCTATAAGCTTGTTTTTGTCTATTGTTTTGCTTTTTAGCTTCCACATATAATAATGAACATACAATATTTGTTTTAGTTTGTTGGACTTATTTCACTTAGCACATGCCCTTGCGATCCATCCATGTTTTCCTAAATGGCAAAATTTTATTTGTTTTTATGGTTGAATAATATTCCACTGTATATGCATGTATATAAATACACAATTGCTTTATCCATTCATCCACTGATGGATACTTAGGTTATTTCCACATATGGGCTATTATTAATAACCCCCAACACACATGAAAGTTTATGCTTCCTGATCATTTATTTTACATTTTTAGTCTCGTCATATACTTGCCTTCCATATTTTTGTTTGCCCATTAAATGTTTGACCATTTACTTGTTCCTTCATAGTGAATGGATATCTATTGATGACCTGCTACTTCCTCTTCTATGCTAAATGTTGGCAACTCCACAGCACAACACAAGTGCCTTCAAGGAGCTCATGAACTGAGAGAGAAGGCACAGATAAGCAAGCAGTTACAAAGGTGTGGAAAGAATGTCTATAACCATGGAGCACAAAGGTGGGGATACCAAACCCAGACTGAAAAGTCAGGAAACATGCTTCAGAGGAAAGGAAAGCTGCACTGAGCCTGGAAGTAGGGGCTGCAGGATATGTGTGTAGGCACAGTGGTTTCTGTAGATGCCATCTCTCATTTAGTCACCAGAATAACTTGTGCCCTTAGCTTTTAAAGCCCATCAGTTTGCTATTTTGATCAATTACTTCATTTATTCACTCTTTCATCTGTAAACATTTAAGAATGCACTCAGTGCCCCTGATTGTGTTAAATGCTATCTTTTCTTTTAAAGATTCATGACATGGAATTCCTGGCTTTCTCCCTCTCCATGATTTATAGAAACTTAAAATCTGCTTTTCTAAAGTGCAAAGTACTCATCTGGCTCTGCCCATTGTTTCTTCCTCGACAATCAACAACTCTCAATGTTTAAGTTTCTTTTCCTTTTAAGTTGTTCAGTCAATATAATTTATTGGGTGCTTTCCATGGGCAAGTCACTCTACTAAATGCTCAGGGACATATAAAGATGACTAAGGCTTAGGCCCATTTCCCATGAGGCTTTTAAACTAATGAGGAATATATGTGCACAATACAGGGGATAAAAAAAACCCTCTAAAGATATTTTAAAGATAAACATTTCTTGTTTAGAATTAAGTCCAGAAGAGAACCCTTTTCTTTCCTTAATCATTAGGGAGATGACAAGGTGAAGTAACACTGTAAGGACATTAAGTTTGTATTACATTTCAATAAAATTTTAAGCAATTATATAAATACTAGAGGCCTGATGCACGAAATCCATGCTGTAGGCCTTCCTTTCCCCGGCTGCTGGCACCAGCTTCCTTCTCACCCAGGACCCGGGCTTCTTCCAGAAGGTAGTCCGGAAGGACGTCCAGTCTAATTAGCATATTACACTTTTATTATTATAGTTTTTTAAAAAGCTGTCTTTGTATTTTCCGCACATTCCAGGGGAGGAGGTATATAAATTAGTCAGAGACTGTCCCATAATTCAAAAGTCAATTCATTAGGCTATCAAAAGTTAATAGTGGTATTATGAATCAAATTAAATTTAAAATATATATTGGAACTACCCATGGGCTGTCACTTTCTATATTATATATTTCTGTAATTTTGTAATCGTTTATAATGATCAAGCATTGCATTTATAATAAGAAAAAAATGTTCATAATACATGTGGAGATTGCATTGTGCTAATTTTCTAGAAAGGTAGCTGTCAGGCTTCTTTATCAAAATGAAAATATGTTATAATTATAAAAGTTCAAAAAATATGAAAAATAGAAAAAAATCACCTGTAAAGCTATCATATTAATACAACTATTACTGATGTTCCGAATGTATTTCTTTTTTTGTATATTGTGAGGTTGATTTTAAATGATTATATAGCAATATTCCTCAATAATATTTAACCCTCAAGAAGAAGAGCATTTTCTTCATATGTATCCAATTCTGTGTTTTGGCCCAGATGGAATGGTAGAATCATGGGATGTTTACATGAAAAGATAATATCTTTTCCTAAGACCTTAAGTTGATCTAGCCAGAAATATTCAAACTTTTATATCTTCCAGTAAGTAAAATCTTTATGTTCTTGATTTATTCTCCTGTAGATGGGGTCACATTAACAGTAAGTAATAATCCAGATTTCATTGGTACTTGTCCCTACCTGCTCACATAGGACCCTAATCTCCTGAAAGGTTTCCCCAAATTCTATTGGGAGTTCAAGTGAGGTTTTACACATACTATGAACAAAACCAGTTAACTATTAGTCAGCTACCATTATCTTTCCCATCCCCCTGCTGTACCCTTCATAGGCTAGATATTGCTGAGTGCCCTGGCACTGCTGCCTCCCCCGGGTGCTGCCATGGGGGTCCTGGGAGCTCTGGCATGCCAAGCACTGCAGTGGGCTGTGGAGAAGCAGCAGGGATGGTCCCCTTCTCTCCTATGAGGGGGTCCTCAGTAGTGCCATTTGTGTTCCACATCTTACCAAATTTTTATTGAAGTAGCTTTTTAGGACTATACGTAAACCCTTATTACTCAAAATGTGGTCCCTGGACCAGCAACATTTGGCAGATTTGTTAGAAATGCGGGATCTCAGGCCCCATGAATCAGAATCTGCTGCTTAATAAGAGCAACAAGTGATTTATATACAAATTTCAGTTTAGAAGCATCTGCTTAAAGTGCCTTCTGGGACCAAGGAGTTAATTCAATTAGGGACCCGGACAGGGTTGAGTCAAGAAGCAAAACTGACAAATAGTAGGACCTTTTTTTTTTTTTTTTTTTAATCCTCATTCGAGGATATTTTTTTCCATTGATTTTTAGAGAGAGTGGAAGAGAGGAAAAGACAGAGAGAAACATCAATGTGAAAGAAACACATCGATTGCTTGCTTCCTGCATGCACCCCGACCAGGGCCCAGGCCAGAGGGGAGCCTGCAACCAAGGTAAGTGCCCTTGATCAGAATCAAACCTGGGACCCTTGGTTCGCAGGCCAATGCTCCATCCACTGAGCAAAACTGGCTAGGGCTAGTAGACCTTTTTGTAATGACCTCTTCCCTTTGATGATGTTATTTATTCCTGTGACTGCACCAAAGTGAGAATGCTTGGCTCCTTCTCTCAGGATACCTGTCCCTCAGGAAACTCCCAGGCTCCTCACTCCCTCCCAGTGGTCGGCAAACTGCGGCTCATGAGCCACATGCGGCTCTTTGGCCCCTTGAGTGTGGCTCTTCCACAAAATACCACGTGTGGGCACGCATGTACAGTGTGACTGAAACTTCGTGGCCCATGTGCAGAAGTTGGTATTTTGTGGAAGAGCCACACTCAACGGGCCAAAGAGCCGCATGTGGCTCACAAGGCACAATTTGCTGACCACTGCTAGACTCGCAGTGGTTCTTAACCTTCTGCCCCTTTAAATACTGTCCCGCATGTTGTGACCCAACCATAAAATTATTTTCGTTGCTACTTCATAACTATAATGTTGCTACTGTTATGAATCGTAATGTAAATGTCTGATATGCAGGATGGTCTTAGGCGAGAAATAGACTTGGTGACCTGCCACTTTTATGTCAGTTGCACCAGACATGGCTTAGGCGAGATCTATGCACCCACCAGACCATGGGAAATCACATTGCTGCTCACGTAAGCTATACTTTCATGTAACAAGTTTTGAGTTCACATCTAGTATTTAAAAATTCTTTCATTATGAGCAATAGGACTACCAAGATAAGTAAAACAATCTCTACCCTAAAAGGACGCTAATGAAGTGATAAATGTTGAGGCAGGTCAGAACTCCTGGGAGACCATTTGAGGAAGGAGCCAAAAGCTTCCCCAATGCAGCAGTCTTACTGCAGTGATGAGAAACCATTACTGTGTCTAATCCCTACAGCCTGTGTGTGCCAGCTCTCCAGGTGGAACGCCCTTCTTCCATTTCTCTCTCCCTACATTCTTACCCACCTTCCAAGGCCAGTTTCAACTGCCGATTTATCAGTGAAATCTGCCGGAATCCCCTCAGCTACATGTGCTTTGCCACTTCAGAACCTCCATCATATCCTGTCTTAAGGTCAGTTATGTGCAGTGCAGCTTTATGGAGTGGTGGTGGTGGGGGTTATGTCCCTTATAGGCAAATAATGCATTTTAGCCAGTCTTCTTAGATTCCCCATAGGACCTAGCATAATGTGCCATAAATTGTTTTTAAAGAAAAGAATATATTAAAGCTAATGCATCAGCTCTGCTACTACTTCTCTATTCAGGACGTAGATCAGCCTTTTCAAAGCATAGAGAAAACGTGAGAGAAAGTACTCTACACTGGCTGGGCTATTTAAGTGAATTAACTTTTCTCCCACACCTTTTTTTAGGTGAGAATGGTTCTTTCATGCAGAAACAATGTCCTCATTCACAGATGAGTAGCTGTTAATCACAGCTGGGTGGAATTTTATCTAGCTTTCAGCTGTATGAAAGGGACTATCTGCCTACTAGTATTTAGGAAGTCCATAGCTTGCTGGGTAGCACTGTGTATGCCTGGTTTTCTCTAACGCTGTGATGGCATTCAAGGAACCTGTCTCTGAAGAGTGTAGGGTTGCTACTAATTATGTGGCATCTTTTGAGCTGCACATCAGTGATGCTTATTTATCTATGGTTAGTATGATTTTTTGAGCCACTGGGAGGAAGGTTTCAGCTTAGATATATCCTATGTCTCTTTAGGAATGGTGGTTATGGCCATATTTGTGTTGTGATGATAGATGAAACAGCAACCTAGTGCCCAGGATTTTGCTGCCTTGTGGCTAATGATTTAGAACTGTGACTGCAAACTATGGGCTATGATGGGAGAATCACGGTTCTTTCCAGTGTGTTAACCAAACCATATGGGCATCAGACACTGGTAGTAGACTGAATAAGTAATTTTTCACCCATATTTAATTTAGAGGTAATGTAGATGTGTTAGGATTGGTGAAATAGATTGATTTTAAAATGACATTTAATTTATTCCGGACTTTTGCTGTGTTTAAACAATTATTGGATATAAGTGCTAGCATGTGGGGTTTACAAATCTGGTCATTAAAGAGGCCATAATATCCAAAGGTTAGGCCCAAGCATATTAAAATCTGGATGGCTTTTCTTTGAGGTAGTTTGGGTTTGAAAGATAGCTGGGGTCTTCTGGAAGTCAAAGGACAAACCAAGGACCCTAGTCTGAACAAAGAGGGCTTGAGTGTGTGTAAGATTTCCAACATTAAAAATTAGCTTGTCTCACCTCTAGTTTCTCCTCATTCTCACCTCTGTCCCAGGCCTATTCTTATCCTTTAGACTCAGTAGAACCTATTTTTTCTGGATTCTTTGAAGACCAAGCTGAATTGAAAAGGGTACATGGAAAGCAATTCCTAAAATATCTAGTAGGACGTGGAAATACCGTCTGTCTTCCTGTGATTAAGGTGACTATGTAATTTGTCATAATGATTTTAATGGTGCCTCTGCTGGGTCTAGAGAACTAAATTAGTTGTTGCCTAACTTGTTGGGTTACCCATATTACACACGGGATTATAGTAACCAACTTTGAGGGCAAGCATTTGTGTTCTTTATAACCTCTTCATATCATTTTGAGTAAATTGCAGCCACTAAATGATTGCTTAGGTTTTCCCAATGAGCCACAGCTAGTGTGGTCTCTGGACCAGAGCATCAGCATCACCTGGGAAATCATCAGAAATGCAAATTCATAGACAAACTGGATCAGATTCTCTAGGGGTGGGGCCCAAGGAGCTGTAGTTTAACAAGATCTCCAGGTGACTCTAATGCTCGGGCAGATTGAGAAGCACACCTATAATGGCCTCTTCCTAGAACAGTTACCATCCTCTATCAGATCATTAGACTATCTCAGATGCACACCCAGGTATTTGAAATGGCTACATCTTCCATGTAATGAAGCCAACTTTTTTTTTTTTTTCTGGGATGGACACTTAAAAGAAATCATCTAAACTTTAATGGGGGCATGACATCTAGAAACATGCCTACTTATGTGAGGGGTTCTGTTAACTCCAGTTTTATAAGGAGAATTAGTAAATGTCTGATAGTTATGGAATTAAACCACTATCATGGAATTTTCAAACTAATGGAATAGTGCATGTAGCTGTGCTAGTGGCACCCATGCTTTGTATATAAGCACATTAAAATTACATGGGGAGCTTTTAAAATCCTGATGCTGAGCTTGCACTCCTACCATTTCAGTCATTGCATTATGTCTGCAGTTGAAATCCAGACATCAGGATTTAAGATGCTAGTTTGATTCCATTGTGCCACAAAGTTTAGAAAGTATTGGGTTATACTACAAACCTAGACATAATTCGACCCAGGAAGTCTAATGTAAGAAAGCTGTGCCCCAGGTGACTTCCCTGTTTCTCTCCTAAAGCGGCCTGAGATAGATAACTGGCAAACCGGCATAAAAGCTCTGGAATATGCTTTGGAATTGGAGAACCAGTTAAGCCAGCTCCTGATAGACCTGAAGACCACAGCTTCTGCCGACAATGACAGTCATGTAAGTAGTAGCTGATTTTGAAAGTACTATCATAGTTCACTTCTGAATTATGACTTGCTTCTTGGAAGAGGGCCCAAGGCTCTGGTCATCCAACACATGCTTGTTTCCCCCCAAGGAGGTATATGAACCTTCTTCTGGGAGTAGATTGGAGGTGGGAGGAGTAGGTGCCCTGGTAGGAAGGAATGCAACTCAACACAAGATGGAGAGGGCTTCCCAGGAAAAGTGTGCTCTGGATAATTAAACAAAATGACTTTCGCTGTTGGCTTTTAAATCTAGAAAAGTCCTTAAATGTTAATAGGTACCAGAATCACCTGGAGGGGTTACTCAAACAACCTGCCCTACCCCACAGAGCTTCTGATTCAATGGCTTTCATGTGGTGCCTGAGAATTTGCATTTCTAACAAGTTTTCAGGTTATGCTGCTGCCTGCTGGCCAGGGGCCACACTTTGAGAACCATTGTCCCTGATGGTCCCTGCAAAAGTGAATGCTAATGGTGACTTATTATCCTGCAGTCTTCCTGGTTAATGGTGAACACTCCACCTTGTGGTGGTAACTTCTTTCTCACTAACCCCATAGCATCTCAGGAAATCAAAGTGAGGAAAATTCCCTTGTGCAAAAGTTATCAACCCTAGATGCATATTGGACTGGCTTAGTTGCTCTGAAGAGATAGATACAAATGCCTGAGCCTTATGGCCACTTACATCTAAATCTGTGGGAATTGGGTCTAGACATCTACTTAAATCTCCATGTGATTAAAAAAAAACAGGGTGAGAAACCACTGCAGTACTAGTTTTTTTTTAGGTTAATCTGTACTTTTGATGAGATGCCATAACACTCATACTCATTGAAAGTGGGTATTTGTACTCACTGGAGGTCTTGAGTGTCTTAGATCAGTGCCCATTAAACTTCTATGTGCATATGAACTCCCTCTCCTTTCTTAAAATGCAGGTTCTGATTTAGTAGGTCTGGAGTGGGACTTGATATTCTCTTTTTCTGACAAGCTCCCAGGGCTGCAGGTCAATGAGCTACAATTTGTGAAGCAAGATTTTTGATTGCCTCCTGTTGCAGACGAGGTTCTAAAGCAGCGGTTCTCAACATGTGGGTTGCGACCCCTTTGGTGGTCGAACGACCCTTTCACTGGGGTCGCCTAAGACCATCCTGCATATCAGATATTTACATTAGGATTCATAACAGTTGTAACATTACAGTTATGAAGTAGCAACGAAAATAATTTTACAGTTGGGTCACAACATGAGGAACTGTATTTAAAGGGCCAGAAGGTTGAGAACCACTGTAAAAGGTTTTCCTCTGTTTATTTCTGTAGTTCTTACACTTCATGGGAAAGTACCTGGATAAACAGAAGAGGAACACAACCTACCTGCAACGCCAGCTTGCATATTATAGAAATGAAGAAAACCAGGCTCAGGCGGAAGCCTGATTGGAAAAGCCTGATGATAAAAAGCCTGTCGAGTAAATAGATCCAACATCCGAGGGCAACAGAGCAAGTCTTCCCATTGTAGTTGTTCCCAAAATCAGCTATTTAAGGATCTTAATCTCCTTCACTGCTTTCCTTCATTGGTGCATGTACAATTAAACCTGTTTTTGCATTATAATTATGTGTAAAGAGATTGTTGTTGAAGCACAAAAATGGGTTAATTCAATCAGTGTTAAGTTTGGTGAAAGCTTCCTAAGGACAATAGGTGCATTAGACTTAAAAAAAAAAAAAAAAAAAAAAAAAAGCCTTCTCCTTCTCCCATGATCCCAACAACACTCAGATGCAGGGTCAAGATTTGGGAATTTCAAACAGACCAAGTAGATATAGTATAAATTAAGTAGGAAAACCTTAGGTCTCACTACTGTTTTTTTCCTCTTCAACTTGTATACTATGTATTTAAATTTTACAAAAATAGTAGGATTTTCTTCAAATCAATGTAAAGCTAGACTTGAAAACAAGAGTTCTTGGTCTAGAAATGTTTACTCAACTGGAAATATTTAAGGGAATAAGCGTCTGCAACCCAGGTGCCCTTTCATAACCTGTGGTATGCATAGGGACCAGGAAGGTACACAGGCAATTAAGACAGCAAACAACTGTGTGGATGTGCCTACCCTACCTACTGAGGGCAAACTAGCAACTATTGGGGTGGTTGCTGATTTCAGGAGCAAGCAATGAGCATGCAAGCTGGGGTGGTTAGTACCATATGGGAACAAACGGGGCTCTATAGGATTGTGTCATGGCCACAAAACTTGTTAGATCCATGGCCTTAAGTAAGTTTTTACCTTACTCATTGACTCAGTTTATTCATTTTTAAAGTAGGGTTAATAGTATTTAGTTTATAAAGTTAATGAGAGAATTAAGTAAATTAGTATGTAAAAGTATCTAGAACAGTACATTTTCGGATTATATATTAGTTAATTTAGATAATAGTGCCACCTCATAAACTTGAGGAAAGCTAATACATAATGACATTAGATATACCTTGGGGAAAATTCCAGTTAACAGATGGGTTGAATATTGAAATAGACACAGCTGATCAAACAAGTGATATTGAAGTAAGCTAAAACATTCTCAGCCAAAGGAATAGCAAGTGATATTTTAAATTTTAAGATATGGAGTTCCAATGAAAGATGTAATTTAGAGCTCCAGGAGAGAAGAGAAGTTGAGAAAAAAATCCATTGTAGAAAAATTTTAGAGTATCAAGGTTGAAAACTCACTGTAAAAGACACCACTTACAAAGAAAGAAAACTGTCATATTACTAACAGCTTTCTCATCAATATTAGATGCAAAGACAAAAACGGGAAAAACTTCAAAATTCTGAGGGGAAAAATTAAGTTAGGCAGAATAGACCTATTTGAACATGCAAATATGAAGCTCACAAAAGCTTTAACCCAAAGAAGACCTTCACTGTGAACAACCGTTGTTTGTTTTAATAAAATACAAGGGCCTGGGCTTCTACGTGCAGGCCCAAAGTAGCCGACCTGATATGAAGAAGCCTCCTCTGGTACAGTCACTCCGGTGGGGAAGGGCATGTCCAGGCTATAGTTACAACAGAGTGAACTTCTTTACTTCCACATCTTTACCACAACTCAACCTTCTTGAAAATGACTGCCATGGTGAGCTTGTTACCACTGGAAAATTACCAGTTCACCATGTATTCTTGAATAAATTCCCTTTTATGATTACTATTAGTTTATACTTAATTTTATACATATGGGTGACTATCATAGACATTAAAATCATGAGTAAGACAAGATTGCTTTATCCTCAACACCACTTCGTGTTTTTCTGACAGTTTTTAAGCAGAATATTTGAGACTCAGCACAATTGACATTTTTGAGCCAGATGGGTCTGTCGCGGGAAGTTGTCCTGCATTGTAAGATGTCTAGCAGCACGCCTGGCATCTGCCTACTAGATAGCACCTCCTCCAGTTGCAACAGTCAAAACTGTTTCCAGACTTGCCAAATGTCTGTTGAGAGGCAAAATCGCCATGCTTCAGAACGACTATGCTAGACAATGCAGTAGAAAAGTTAAAGGAAAAGAAGATGTATCTATTTGAAAAAGACTTATTAATGTGATATGATTATAACTAGAACTGAAAAGCTATATAACTTACAAGAAAGTTTAATTTTGTTGCTGGATACAGGATAAATATCTACCAATGGACCTTTCCCATAAACAAAAACATTTTAAAAAAACATAACTTGTTCATAATATACAAATAAATAAAAAATTTATGAAGAATTCTAACAAAACTAACTTAGGACCTATATGAAATAAAATAAAGCGCCTCCTGAAAGAGATAAAAATCTTTAAATAATGACTAAAGTAAAGTAAGACTAAACATGAAAATTGTGACATCTCTCAAATGAATGTGTAGGACTAAAGCAATTTGGTTATAATCCCAACAGGATTTTGAAGGTGTGGACAACTTTATACTAAAGAATTTCTCTAATCATGGGGGAAACATGGGAACATACATAAAAATTACTTAACACTATTAGTCATTGTGAAACAAATACAAACCACATGCGATACCACCACTACACATTCAGGAGAATGACTGAAATTAAAATAACTGTCAGCACCATATGCTCATAAGGTGGTAAAACAACAAAAGCTCCCACACACTGTGGATGAGAATGTAAATTGGTACAACCACTTTGGAAAAAGGTATGATATTTTTTTCATAAAAGTAGGCATATACCTACATCATGAATTTTGGGAGAACACAGTTCAGCCCACCACAAATGATGTTGACTAAATTTGGGGGGAGAAAAGAGGAGGAAGTTTCAAGCTAATTCAGTAGGAACCAATAGGTGTTGTCTGAAAAAAGAGAGTTCTAAGAATTGTATAAAAGTCTAATTATAAAGGCAGTCATTAGAGTAAAATTATGACTGATTTTTAAAATAACCCCAATAGTGAAAGTATAAATAAATATAATGCTCATATTCACATTTTATTTTGTAACCCTTAAGTTAGGCTTTGATTTAGTCCTAGTTCAGCTGTTAAGCAACGTTTACCCCAGTCTTTTTGCTGAAGTTTCCCTTATCTTTTGGTTGAGTGAAGTTTGTTCTCTGGGGCATTCTTTAGTAAGGCCTGACATGGATAATATTCTGAGTCCTTGAATTTGGAGAAAATTTTTTCCTCTTTATTTTATTTTTTAAAATTTATCTTTATTGTTGAAAGTATTACATATGTCCCCTCTTGTTTTTGTTGTTGTTGTGTTTTTCCCCATTGACTCCCTCCTCTCTTTCTCTTAGCATAATACTATCCGAGTCCATCCATGCTGCACAAATTATAAGTTTCTTCTTTTTCACTGCTGCATAGAATTCCAGTGTGTAAATGTACCACAGATTTTTATCCACTCATCTGCTGATCGGCACTTAGGCTGTTTCCAAATCTCAGCTATTATAAATTCTGCTGTTATAGACATAGGGGTGCATAATTCTTTCTGATTGGTGTTTCAGGTTTTTTAGGATATAGTCCTAGAAGTGGGATCACTGGGTCAAATGGCATTTCCATTTTGAATTTTTTGAGGAAACTCCATACTGCTTTCCACAGTGGCTGCACTAGTCTGCATTCCCAGCAGTGTACTAGGATTCTCTTTTCTGTCATCTTCTTTTTAAAAAAATAATTCTTTATTGTTGAAAATATTACATATGCTCCCCTTCCCCTCCCCCACCCTGTTAACACCCTCCAGCTCACCCTCCTCCCCTCCCCTAGGCCCTCACCATCCCATTGCCTGTGTTCATGGGCCATGCATCTATGAATATGATTAGTGATTTTGAGCATTTTTTTATATATCTCTTGGCCTTCCATATGTCCACTTTGGAGGAGTTTCTATTCAGGTTCTTTTCCCATTTTTAAAATTGGATTGTAAAGTTGTATGAGTTTCTCATATATTTTGGAAATTAAGCCTTTATCAGTTGTATTGTTGGCAAATAAAGCCTCCCATGAAGTGGACTCCTTTTTATTTTGTAGATGGTTCCTTTTGCTGTGCAGAAGCCTTTTATTTTGATGTAGTCCCATTTGTTTATTTTCTCCTTAGTTTCCTTTGCCCTAGGACAGAGGTGGGCAATCTTTTTGTGAGTGCATGACAAAACCAGCAAAATCTCTGACTCAAAATTCTTCTGCATGCCAACCCTAATTTTTTGAGGACATGTTACACCTACTTGATATCTCTTAAGGTGCACGTATGTGAAGAACCTTGAAGAAATAATAAAATTCATTCGAGCGACAAAAACACAGTATGATGATGAAAAATACATTTATTTTTTAATGTATACATGTACACTGATAGTCCGACAGAAAACTTTATGACTCCGTTTGATATTATCAGTGGGACTTTTGCTGCTGCATCACTGATGACAGATTTTACATCAGGTTTTTATTTCGTGACCTTCAGAGATATGCACAAGCTACTACTTTCATCCGTCAGGCTACTCCTATTATGAGACTTAACAAAATTCATCACTGAGAACAAAGATTCACAAGCGTATGTGGATGAAACCAAAACACTGGTCGGATCTAGGAAGGCAGGGAGAGTTAAGGCAAAGGCATAGAAATTGCTCTTCCCCTCTCTCGTCAATCCATGTCTATGGTCTTCAAGATAACTTGTTATGTAAAATTATTTATTTATCTAAGATGCACCTACACTGAATTTTATCTGAAAAATAAAAAAGTCGATATTAAGAAAAAAATTGTAAATGGAAGATTATAAGAGAGGGTTTCGCGTGCCAGCAAAAGTTACTGGCGTGCCATGTTTGGCACGTGTGCCAGGGGTTGCCCACCCCTGCCCTAGGAGCTAGATCAGTAAACATATTGCTATGAGAGATGTCTGAGATTTTGTTGCCTATGGTTTCTTCTAAGAATTTTAGGGTTTCATGACTATCCATTTTCAGTTTATTCTTGTGTATGGTGTAAGTTGGTGGTCTAGTTTCATTTATTTTGCATGTACCTGTCCATTTTTCCTGACACCATTTATTGAAGAGATTGTTTTTACTCCATTGTATACTCTTGCATCCTTTGTCAA